CCACAAACAACTCAGCGTATATTTTTTCAAAAACTTTTGAATTTTTTTTTAGATGGTTGACATTTTTTATTTTTTTAAAAAACGTGTTTTTTTAATTGTTCTAGAATTTAGAAATTTTTGAAAATATTCCATTATTTTGAAAATTTCGAAATAATTTCAAATTTTTGTAAGAAATCTTTTTTTTTTTAAATTTAGATATATTTTGAAATTATTCAAAATGTTTTTTTGAAAATGGTGAAAAATTTCGAATATTTTAATTTTTTTGAATTTTTTTCTGTAAAAAGCATTTTTTGCACACCATCTACTCAAGCAAAATGTTTTTTGAATTAATTTAATGATCCGTTTCTTCAAAAAATGCATAACCTTTTTTACACCCTTTGCGCTCCATGCCTCCGAAACTGTCGAGAATGTCGATGACATTTATTTGGGCCAATTACGTAAATTTTAACTAGTTGGTATTGGTATTTAGCCTTGAGGCAAGTTACATGAACTTCCCGATATGTGTAAATAATCGACTTAATCAATAAAATATAAATTAATTTTTGAGTGATTAATAGTATTCTTAGTGGATTTATTACACATCATTGAAAACGAACGAGCACTCTATACCAAGTAAATCATCTAATTTTCATTTTAACAAACGTCAAAAAAACTACTCATTTTCTCAAACTTTGATGAATTTTTAAAGTTAAACTACTTGTCGTAAGGCCGTAATATAATATTTCAGTTCTATAAGACCATGATATATATCGCCAAAAAAAGTTCCATAAAAATCGTCTAATTTTTTTTTCAACAGTTAATTACAAGAAAACGGCTCGGTAGATTTTCATCTAAAACTTATCAATATCATTCCCTACTAATATCTTTCGAACAGTTTTTGATTTGTCAAAATCGATTCGGTAGTACGAGCTTAAATCTAGACAAAAAATTAAACACTTTTTCAAATCACAAAGAATCGGCTCGGCAGATCGTCGCACTAAACTGAGAAAAGATAATCTACGTCAAAATACATCGATTGACTTTTAAATTTTTGAAATTGGTCTAGCCGTTTTTGAAAACGTCGATGAAAGTTCTAGTTTTGTCAAACGTCAAAAAAACAATACTAATTTTTGCAAACTTTGACAAATTTTCAAAATTAAACGACTCGTCATGGGGCCGTAATATTTTAGTATGATCTAGAAAACCATGATATCTATCATCAAAAAAAATTCAAGAAAATCGTCGAAATTTTTTTTTTAACACTTTGTTACAAGAAAACGGCTAAACTTTACCAAAAACTAATCAGGTCGACTCCCAACCAATATCTTTCAAATGATTTTTGCATTTTCAAAATCGATTCAGAATTGCGGGCTAAAGCGTGGACGAAAATTTTTTCACTTTTCTGCTATTTACTAAGAAACGGCATTGCTGATCGTTGCGCAAAATCGATAAACGCTAGTCCTGATCGAGATACATCGAATGGCTTTAAAATTTTTGAAATCGGTCTGCTCGTTTTTGAGAAAACGTCGATTTACGGCAAAAAATCTGTTCACATACACACAGGGCCGAATTTAGAAATTTGGCGCCCTGGGTCACTGACAAAAATGCCGCCCCATCCCTAAATTTTTACTTAAAATAGTTTATATATATATATATCATTTTTCTAAAATTAAAATAACTATTTGATTGCAGAAATTTATTACGCATTACATAGTGTAAATAGTAGTGCTTGGCATCGTGCCTTAAGATAAATTGCTGAAACTTCTCGTACCAAAAATTAAAATTAAAAAAAAATTAAGCAAACGGCCTGCTTTAGCTGCGTACAGACGAGATAAAGAAGCGCGTAAGCGCCGCCTCGCAGAACAATAGATAAATAATTATACAGAACCCATAGAAATGTAAACAAAATTTATATTATTAAAATATCTGATAATTTGATGTGCATATGGCTAATGATCATTTTTGACCGCCAAATGTTTCTCTTTCAAATTTTTTATTGGATCACAGAAACTGCTAGCCCTGCCTCCCACAAATTTAATCAGTTCTCCATTTTGTATATATATGTAAATTTCTTTTAATGATATTGGACGGTCCGTTTCTCAAAAAATGAATTATTATTTTGGGCATTTTGGCCCGTATTTCCGAAACAGTTGGACCTGTCTTGGCCAATAACTAACCAGCACGTCTCGCTATCAATAGAAATCGAATTATTAAAATAAAATTTAATTTTAATAAGTTTAATAAATGAAACTTAATAATTTTCAAAAAAATTCTAAATATAAAAAAAAAGTTTTTTTAAATTATCATTTCAAAGCTTTTTATAAAATGTAATTTTCAGTACGGAAAGTTTCAGTAACTTGCCGTAAGGAACAATGGCATGCGTCACTGATTTAATTTTTTTCGGCGCTATGAGCTTGGAAGTGCACAAATTCGTCATCTTAAGAGGGCCCGAGATCTGAAGAACATATTTTTCTTAAACTTTCAATTCACTTGCAATCTTTATATAGCCAAATTGCCAAATTTTGCATTGCATTTGTATAATGTTTTGTTAATTATATTTCTTGAAATTAAAAATGTTATAAAAAAATGAGTTAATTATATGGTATAGAATTTTCTTCCCACTATCCCTATTTTGCCGCCCCCGAAAATTTGCCGCCCTGGGCAGTAGCCCCGACTGCCCCAACTGTAAATCCAGCACTGCACACACACACATACTTTTTCCAAATTTGGTCTCATTCGATTCAGAATGGCTTGAAACGTCGAGAAAACATAAAATTAGCAAATCGGATTTTTTGATGAAAACATAAACTTCTCCTTCGGGAAGTTAAAAATTAAAAATCTTGGTACAAAACCAAAAAAATTTGACACAAATGTGTACACATTATTAAAACATTTATTAATTTGATGTGCATTGTCCAATGAACATTTTTGACCGCCAAAATGGCATTTTTTTAACTTACTTTTTGAGAGTTTACAATCGCTGGACCTGCCTTTTGAAAAAATTGAGCAGTTCTTCGCTTAGTCAATATGAATAAAATGTTTTTTGATTTATTCAAATCGACCGCTTCGTTCTCTCAAAAACTGAATTACTATTTTTGGTTCTTTTTGCTTCGTAACTTGGAAACGGCTAGACTTGTCAAACAAAAACAAATCAACACGTTTCCTTATCAATACAAATCAAATTAAATTATTCAAATTGGTTAATCCGTGTTCCAGAAAGTCGACAAAAATTTGTATCTGCACACACACGCGCCCACACAGGTATGCTATAATATTCAGAAACCTTTGAAACGTAAAGTTATATAAAACGTTTTATTTTCGTTTTTTGCGATTACTATAACTTACCCTACGGAAAGTTAAAAACTTAAATTGAGCATCATTGCTGCATTTCAAGCAATTAATGTCAAAAAATTATGAAGTAAAAGTACTTGACATGACCGTGTCTGCAATAATCATGGATGTTGCCTCGAAGCGTGCATCTCCCGTTGGCGTGCGGTGATCCGGCATCACAGGGAAGCGACGCAGGGACTAATACCGCACGTTGACGGCGTCCGCACCGTAATCCCTTACTCAATCAACATGTCCGACCTGATCACACGGCAAGAGTAGAGCGACAAACACACACAACACCAAATTCGTAAAATGCTAGCTATATTCAAATGATGAATGACTAAAGTGCCTCTACTCACATTCACAATCAGTCGGGGAGGTTACGAAAAAATATGCACACTGAAATCACTGCAAATAACTAATTATTTCTTTTGAATCACTCTAATCGGAGCGCCGTACTCTCATTATTTGTAATTTTCACTCCGAATCTCCGAAACCGCTAGACTCCCTTCACAAATATATAATCAATTATTCACATAATATGAATCGAATGTTTTTTGAATCATTCTAATTGGATGTGCCGTTCCGTTGAAACTAGTTGTTTTTGCGCTTTTTGCTCTATTTTTCGGGAATGACTGGACCGGCCATTGCCAAAAACTAATCAGCACATTACCTCGTCAATACGATCACTCAAATCGATGTGCATATGTCCAATGAACATTTTTGACCGCCAAATGGCATTTTTTTAACTTACTTTTATTGAGAGTCTATAACCACTAGACCTGCTTTTGCCAAAAACTAATCAGCACGTCTCCTTATATCAATACGAATCGGAAGTTTTTTGAATTATTTGAATCGGCTGATCGGTGTTCCCAAAATCGCCGATAAAAATTTGTATCTGCACACACACATACATACACACACATACATCCATTTTTTCTAAGGTATGCCAAAATATTCACAAACCTTTGAGACGTAAAGATATATAAACATTTTCATTAACGGGAAGTTTTCGATATTTAAAAAAAATGTTTGTTTATTAACATTTTCTTTGAAATCTTAAAATATAAATAACTTGTCTTCCCGAAAAACCCAACGTTTTTTCTGACTGTTGACACAAACGAATTATTCGATGCGAATGCACCATTTTTTCAAAAACTGTAGTTTTTAGCATTGTTAGCTCCTTATCTTCCACACGGGTAGACCTGTCGTTGCCAAAAACTAACCATTACGTCTCCTTATGAATGGGAATAAAATGTTTTTGGAATTATTAAATATATATTTATGTAAAAATGAACATCGTCATAAGACTTATGTTTATATAACATGCAAAAAGCATTTAAAGATAAATATATTATTTGTTGTGTACTTTAAATTTGAACTTTGAAACATTGTGGTCGAATAGACAAATTCTTAAACACTTACATTAAGCCCATTACTATTAACCGGTAATAATAATATAATGGGGCAATAACAGAGCAGTGAAAATGTTAAACTATTTGCCGTGCGACCAGGCGCATTCTACACACAAACAAGCAAGGAAGAATTATCGGAGATTCTGTTATAATGCCATTCTTCCCTGCTTTGTGTACATGCAAAACACGCCCGATCGCACGGCAAACAGACAAACATTTTTAGTTTTTACTACCAGTTTCCCATAAATATTATAGATTATCCAATTACCATCTTACCGCAAAGTAGCCCACTTTGCTCTTTACGCATTTCGCAATTCCGAGCAATCCCTTCTCGATACTGCCACTGAATTCCCTCTTGATGGCCTCCTCGATGTCGTGTCCGGCCAGTCTCTCGTATTTGGCAAACACCTGCCTCAATTGCTGATAGGACCTCGTCACCAAAATAGAGTTGAAGGCGCTCTCGTCAATGCCCCATTGGCCCTCTCCGGCGTCCACGAGCGCCTCGGCGTCGGCTATGGCAGCGCCCTCGTCCACGCCTGAACTTTCGTCACGGTTAGCCTGGCACAGGGACACGCACAGACGTTTTAAGTGTCCTGAAACGTCACCTTTCAGGTCGGATTCCAAAGATTTGCCATAGAGGTTCTCGTATAATGCAGCGATGGTTGTGCACGTGCACAAAATTTCAACGATTGCCTCCTTGTCGGTTCCAAGTCTCGAACCAGTCTGAGTATTCGAATAGGATGACCCTTCTCGCAAAAACCGAATTCCCACTTACTGTTGTTTTTTGCTCCATATATCCAAAACGGCTGAAACTGTCTTTGCTAAAAGCTTATTAGTACGCCTCCATATCTATAGAAATCGATCATTTTTGAATAATTCTAATTGGTGTATTTGTGCTCTCAAAATTGTAGACAAAATATCGTTTGCACACCAAGCCTCACATACACACACATACATCATTTTTTTTTAAAAGATATGCCAAAATCTTCAGAAACATCCGAAACATTTTATTACCATTTAATTATAAAGTATTATAATTAAATGTATATATTATAATTATATATATATATATATATATATATATATATATATATATTATAAAGTAGATTGTTTGAACTGTAATTGTTCTTATATTGGCCAGATTTGTCAGAACTTAGATTAGGACTCAGGTAGCATGAATTACAATGCGAAAAATAGATAATAAAAAATTTAAAAGCACGCATGTGGATCATGCTAATATCAACAACGATAAGTTTGAACCCCAAGTCTTATTCTATGAGAAAGACTTATTTAAATAAAGCATGTCAGTATCAATGTGTATATATATGTATATATACATATATATAGCGAGAGGTTTTTTAGTGCAGTAAACGGATCGTTTTAGGTCTGAATTTTTTTATTGTGCTCCGAATTTCATGAAATTTTGGAATTAGGTTCATCTTACCCTCAAGTTCAAAAGTGAAAACAATTCGGGTTGCGCCACCACTCCCCGGGGGGATGACACCCATTCTAATTAATTAATTGTGTAATTACATTTTTTCAAAATAACGTCGGAAATCGATATAAGAATTAATTATAAGAAAAAAATGTCTTTTATAGTTTTTCAAAAAAACTAAGACTTTTCAAGTAACTGGCCACTAAAGATTCATATAGTTTTTGCGTTATCTTCGTTTTTTTTGCAAATATCTCCTAAAATATACATTTTAACGAAAATCATGCAATAAACAAAATAATGTCAATAAAATTCTTAATAAATTGGTATTACATAAAGTGTTCTAGAAAAAATATTAAGCAAGATTTGAAAGAGCAAAATCGTTTTTTATTTCGTTTAAGATTTAATTGTTGTATTTAAAGCCATCTAGTGTCGAGGTTTTACATTTTATGCATTTTGGTAAATTGGGTTTTATAGTGCTCAACATAAACTTTAAAATGAGTGATGTTACAAGTTTTTTGCGTGTAAAATGAGTGAGCTATCATGCAAATAAGAAGCAAATACTAAGTTTTATTTTCTTTTAAATCATATGGTTTAATGAGCGCCATTTCCACCAGAATTAAAGTAATTCACATTCCATCTAGAATTCACTTCATTATATACATCTTGATGGATTCTAGCAGATTCACTACTTTAGTACAAACTATTTCCAGAAAACTCACGATTTTATAAAAACTTTGTTTTCCAGTTTGCGCGGCCGCGCAGTCTTTAAACATTTATAACTCTGTCAAATTTTGTGTGAAAGAAAAATAATAAAAAACAATAATAAGCCAGAAAGATTATATTTATACGTAACTTTTATTCTTCAAATCCACTAGTAATAATTCCCAATACAATAGTTCACATAAAGTTAGTTTAAAATACATTGCACTCACAATTAACAGATGTATCAAAAATATTTGCAATTTTAGAAATACAATTGAAAAAATCACAAACTGGCTTTATCGCACAGTGGAAATCGATATTTTTGACTACTTTTTATATTTGGAAACAATTAGAAACAATAAACAGTTCAATAGTTTAAAACATTCGTATACTAACAAATTTAATATAATAAGCTACTACAAAATAAATTGGAAAATAACAAAATAATTTTAGATAAAAATATTATTGATAAATGGTTAAAAAATTATTCTTCTATCGACATACCAGACAGACTATTGTACATATTCGCTTTAGTACCTAATTTTTCAGTTCCTGCTACTTGTCGTAATTTTAACTTTATTAAATTGCTCAGTAATTTAGAATATGGTCTACAACAAATTAAAGATCCGAAAACTAAAATTCACACTAGAAATCTTTTTTGTAAAAAATTCCTCTCACATATTAATTCCTTTAATATCAAAAATACAACTCACGATAATATTATTAGAGACCATAAAGCTTGCAAAATATTTCTCAAAAATCATCCGGATATAGTGGTCACTAAAACGGATAAAGGCAACATCACCATTATCATAGACAAGCAAGACTATATAAATAAAATATCTGAATTATTACTTAACACTAACACTTACAAAACTACCAATAACGATCCAACTGACTACATGAACCGTACGATCCAACTGACTACATAAACCGTATGTGCCATAAATATTTAGATAAACTCACAGCAAACAAACAACTATCCATAGAGATAACATCTGACCTGAAAAATTTACACCCATATTTCCCCATACTTTATGGCCTTCCCAAAATCCACAAAAATAATTGACCTTTTAGACCAATAGTTTCAGACATTAATACCCCTCTATATTCATTCAATTCAATGAACTCGTTACTGACTTAAAACACAAGATAAATTATATACCGGACAACTACAAACTAATTGGCTTAGACGTAGTCTCACTTTTTACTAATGTACCTCTAGACCTTATTTTAGATGCTATAACAACCCGATGGGATCAAATTTCCCCGTTGACTTCTTTATCTTTGCACTGGTTCAGGGAAACTGTCAAGTTCATTGTCTCTAACACTTATTTTGAATTCAATGGCTCTTTCTATTATCAAATTTTTGGGGCGCCAATGGGGTCCCAAGCAAGCACATCTCTAGCAGAAATATCTTTACAACTTCTTGAAAATACAATTTTAAAACATTACAATAAACATATTTTTTATTACCGTTATGTAGATGACATTATCACTTGTATCCCTAGTGATGATGTCACTATGATAATTGATCAATTTAATAACGTCAATAAAAAATTAAAATTTACAGTAGAATTAGAGACAATGAACTCGATAAGCTTCTTAGACATAAAACTTATACGTACTACGGATAACAAACTAATAACAAGTTGGTACCAAAAACCAACTAACTCTGGACGTTACCTTAATTATTTTTCTTATCATTCACTCAAAATGAAAATAGGTACTATAATAAATCTAACTGACCACGCAATACTTCTATCGGACAAAACATTTTGGGACAACAACATCAACTTAATTACGAAAATTCTAACAGATAACTCCTATCCCTTAAAACTTATAAACTCCGTAACCAGTAACAGACGAAGATACATTTTGAACAAAATGAAAAATTCCACAGTACAAAACGATTTACCTGACTCAGAAACTCTTTCTGGTGTGATATGTTTGCGACATTAAAGAATTGTATGTTCCTTGGAAAAAACTTTATTATAAATCTGTACTCCGACTTGTAAACAATTTTAGTACAACGACTAGTACTATTTTTACCAAAACAAAAAACCCTTTTAATATCGAACGACTTAGAAATCTCGTCGATCAAATTAATTGTCTAGATTGTAATTTAATTTACATAGGTGAAACAAGCTATAACTTAATGAAACGTTTACAACAACATAAAAACAATTAAAAAAATCCAAGGCAGTTTAAAACTATGATAGCAGAACATATTTATACTTTAAAACACATTATGGACTTTTCTAACGCGACTGTACTACAATTCGAACAAAATTTATCCAAACGAAGAATTATTGAAGGATCTTTTTTAACTATCTACAGCAATAAAACAATAAATAAGCGGAATGAACTTAACACGCTGTGCGACACAAACCTCTTTTATTTAGATAGTATTTCCAAATTTTTCACAAAACAATAAAAACGACGCGCAAAGGATTCGCAATTCGTTCTACATATGTGTAGAATCTTGGTAAAAAATATTTTTTAAAAAGTCCTTTTTCCATTATATCTTCAACCAGTCTACGAACAACACACTATCCAATTGTGATTTTTTAAATTAGTGTTTTGTGAAAATATTGTGTATTATAAGTTTAATGTTTATAATACATAGAGTAGTGCATTACCATATCTTGATACCATGGATTATTAAAATTTTCCAATTTAACACTAAGAATAACTAATTATAAGTACTATTTACTATTTTATTATTTCTTTTCACTCCAATTCAATTGTTTTAGTTTTTATTTTTATTTTTAGTTTCCACTGAATGAAGGCTTAGATTATAGCCGAAACGTATGGATTTAAAATAAATTTTTGAAAGAAATTTCTGTTTTTTATTGATGTTATGCCCGATTAGTAGACTTTGTTAATGTATATATATATATATATATATATGTATATATATATATATATATGTATATATATATATATATGTATATATATATATATGTATATATATATATATATATATATATATATGTATATATATATATATATATATATGTATATATATATATATATATATGTATATATATATATGTATATATATATATATATTTATATGTATATTTGTTAAATTTTTATAATTTTGATGTTGAGATATGTGAGATTCAGTCTTCAGGGCAATACATCAACTAAAAACTTGTATGACTTTTAAAACAATTTTATTGTTTCCATACGTTTCGATACATTGTTTTGTGTCAACTTCAGTGAACACTAGTTTGTATACATACATATGCTGTTTCAAACGTTTGATAAGGTTCTGCTTAGAAGGTTTGATTCGTTCTAGCTTAGAACGAGTATCCAATATGGTCTATAAAATATTTTGCAATGACTGTGATTCCACCTATATTGGCGAAGCAAGACAGAACCTTATCAAACGTTTGAAACAACACGATAATAACTCAAAAAACAAAAATCAAGGGCAAACAATGATCACAGAACATTTAAAACTAAATAATCATACGTTCAATTTTTATGATGCAAAGGTTCTTCATCACGAGTCGAAAGTCTCACAAAGGCGTTTTTCTAAATCGGCCAATATTTTTTTGGATAGAAATTGTTTAAACAAACGTACAGATACCAGCTTCATTTGCGAAAATTACCAATATGTTCTAAATAATGTTTCACAATTTATATCAAATACCTTACACCACTGTGTGCACGGCACTATCACGCACAACATGTGTTTTTTCTCAAAATTTTGACCTCAGATTTTTACAAAACTTTATTCTTGTCTAGCCTGCCTCGGAACACGAGTGCTTACATAAAATATTCTATTTGTTTTTTTTTATTTTTTATTGTTTATAAAAAAGAAATTACTGACATTTGGTGCTTGTTCCCAATATTAATTTTTACAAGCTGTATTAATATGTGAAAGTGATAGTCTAAGAAATTCAAGTAAGTAATGTTTTGCATTTTTTAATTTAAGGCTCAGATATAATTAGTCTATCTCTTTAGTTAAACCTTTTCCTTTTACTATTACTTATGTATATTCAATTTTTAACGTTACTTTCTGTTTTGTTTTTTTTTTTTAATTGTAGAAACACTGACGATGACGTAGAATTTTACGTCGAAACGTATGGAAAAATAAAGATGTTTTAAAAAAATCTTTACCTTACTTATTTTTTACTTGATGTTACGCCCTTCAAGAAATCAATCATATATATATAGAATATTATGATATGAGTGGAACGAATACTAAATGTTTAATATGAACAAAACAGCACTCAGATTTTTTTAACACAACTTTATTTTATGATTACAAACGTTTCGAGACCAAGGTGTGCCTCATCATCAGTGTAATTTCAATAACAGTTATTTATTAATAAACATTCTTTAATATTTTATTTAAAACTATATTTTGACTTTTTAATATAAAACATCAACTATTCCTTGCATTGGCAAGTGACAATTGTTTCAATCAATGCTTGACACGGTACTCCTACAGTGAATTGAAAGTTTGGTATAATATTTAACTTTTTTATATGATTGTTGACCCTGGTTTGTACGACTTTTTTTGCCACCTTACTCAATGTATTGAGTAGTGCGATTGGACAATAGTTTGCTGGAATATTGTTTATTTTACTGGGCTTATGTAATGGTATCATGATTGAATTCATTCATTGAGCTGGAAAATAGCCTAAAATCAATATTTGATTTATTACTCTTGTTAGAAGTATCAATGCTTTATGCGGCAAGTTTTTAATTATGATGTTTTGCAACCCGTCGGGACCTGGGACTTTATTGTTTTTGAGTGTTTTCAGTGTGTTTATTATTTTCTTAACTGTAACAATTTTTGTCTTGGATCTACAGTAAGTAGTCTTAGAAACGAATGATTTTACTGCATTTTTTACTTTTTGGGAAAATAAGGTGTTTTGACTGTCGGAATTTGATCGGTAATTATTTTTAATATTTGTTTAATTGGTAATTAAAATATTTTGTTTAGCTAGTGCTTCGGTTTTTTGAATTTCTGTTGAGGCCATCCCCATATCACAATCAAGGGCAGGTATTCGTGGAAGTCGCTTAGTGATGCGCTTTATAGTTGGCCAAATATCATTCGGATATGTATTTATTTTGTTCAGCTTGTCAGTCCAGCAGTTGTTGCGATATTCCCATACTTCTACATGAATTATTTTTGTTAGCTTATTCACATGGGATTTTAGGTGTTGATTTTTGGAAACTTGCCAAAGTTTTTTACTTGATTTTTAAATTTTATTTTATTTATTATGTCTTGCGGTAAGCAGTCAGCAATATATTATTGTGGATTACTAAAAAGAATAGTTAATTTAATAGCGTTATTTATCGAGTTTGTTAAGTGTTCGACCGCTCTATCTAAGTCTTCTTCTTCAGTTATTTGCATTATGCGATTGATATTTAAGTTTATTAATTTTTAACTTCCCGTAGGGCAAGTTATAGTAATCGCAAAAAAATCAAAAATGAAAATTTTTATATGTCTTTACGTTTCAGAGGTTTCTGAACATTTTGGCATACCTTAGAAAAAATGGTGTATGTGTGTGTGTATGTATGTATGTATGTATGTATGTGTGTGTATGTATGTGCGGATACAAATTTACGTCGACGATTTCGCAAACACGGATCAACCGATTTGAATAATTAAAAAAACATTCGATTCGTATTGATAAGGAGACGTGCTGATTAGTTTTTGGCGAAGGCAGGTCTAGCCGTTCCGAAGATACGGGGCAAAAAGTGCCGAAAACGGTAACTCTGTTTTTAAGAGAACGGAGCGTTCAATTTAAATAATTCACTTAAAAAACATTTCACTTGTATTGACAAGATGAAGAATCGATATAATTTTCATGAAGGTAGGTCTAGCGGTTTCGGAGATATGGAGGAAAAAGTAAAAAAATGAGCCATTTGGCGGTCAAAAATGATCATTAGACATATGCGCATCAAATGATCAGATATTTTATAGAGATTTTAACAATAAGTATACATTTTGTTAACATTCCTATGGGTTCCGTACCAATGCTTATGCGTTAGACGGCTTACGCGTATTATATTTTGTCCCTATGCAGTTAAAGCAGTACGATTGCTTTGAAAAGAAAGTTCAGATCTTCCACAATATGTCAAAATAAAAAAAAAAAAAAATTTCTCAAAAAAAAAAAATTAAAAAATTTTTTTTTTTTTTTTAAAAAAAGTGATTGTTTGTCCAATTTATAGTTTCTCAAAAATCTTATTCTTTCAAAGTAATTTTTTTTCAAAAATGTTAATTGTTTTTAAAAAAATAATAATTTTTGGTACGGGAAGTTCCAGCAATTTGCCTTAAGGCACGATGCCTTAATTGCCTTAAGACAGAATTCCACTTACAGCTAGTTTTAAATAGAATCCTATTGGTTTTTGCGTAGTTTAAATACGTTGTATTGTCAGACTCATAGACGGTTTATTTGCTATTTATTTGTAAGAAGACTGGATTGTGGTCCGAATTTAGACATGGTAGAGATGTCGGTTGAGTTGTTATATGTACATTTTTCGATAAAGCCAGATCAATAGTACTATTATTATGATGCACACATTGAGCAAATCTAGTAGGAGTATCTGGATAATACAGCTGAACATTATTTACTGTATTATTAATATATTTGCATAGTTTGTTGCCGCTGTTATTATTTCCTCTACATTTCCACATTGCTTGTTAGGCGTTGAAGTCACCAGCTTTCATGTGTTACACGAAACATAAATAGAAATGATTGTCAGTTTAGAATTTTTAATAAATATATTCATGGCAGTCGCTTCAGTGTACTTCAGTTCTGGTAAGTTGAGTTGTTTATGCTTAATGCAACGTCTGACAAGTATGGCTGTACCTCCTTATGAAGAGTTTCTCTATCTGTTCTATACACTTTGTAATTTTTAATATAAAAAGTATCTTTCTTTTGTAAATGTGTCTTATTTATGAGGACTATATCTATGTTCTTATCTTCAAGTAGTTCAATAAGTTCAGCTCGATTTTTCTTGCGTTAAAGTAAATTATAATAATGCTATAGGTTTAGTTCAAGGCCATGATTTTAATGAGTCGAGTATTAAATGATATTTTTCACTATAGGTCTTTGCTGCCTTGAGGGCTGTCGATAATGTGTATAATTCCTTGAATATTGTTGCCACATCTGGATCTTCAAATGCTGATTTTATATGTTTTGCTGCAGCTAAAATCCCTTCTGTCGTGTTAATGTCCGGTGTTGCCAAAGAGTTCATAGCTGGATTTTGGGGTCTGGATTTGCATTGTTCTTTTGCCTCGAAGATGACCGCAGAATAGGTCCTTTGACACATGAGGTGAATTTGCAAATTTATTTTTCTTTTGCTCTTTGTACTTGAGCAAGTATTCACAACGTGAATAGTTCGCAGAGTGTTTTTCTCTGCAGTTGATACACTCTGCTGGTTCATTGCTAGTTTTGTTACACTGTCCTGGTAAGTGGTCTTCAGTTCATTTTACGCATCTGTATTTTAATTTACAATTGTAAGAAGCGTGACCTACTGTTTGGCACTTTCTGTATTGTTTAATGTCTAGTGGTTTATAGTTCTCCCATTTGAAAAGATGGTCGTTGATGTTATTCATATTTTTTAGAGTATTCATATCCTGACTATTGTCCAGTATTATTATGTAAATAGGTAGTTTGATTGTATGCTCATCCGAGTGTTTTTTCTTGAGCTGAATAATTTTTTTTACTAGTATGTTGTTTTCAATTAGACAGTCATGAACTTCCGTATCTACAATGTGTGGGTTCAGTCCAATAATAGTAATTTTTTTAGAGAAATTGTCGCTGGTGGAGTAAAGAGTATAAAATAGAAGATTTATTTCTTTAAGTTTGTTTTTAATAATTTTATGTTCTTTTATATTGGTAGTGTAAAGTTTATGTCTGAATGGATGCATGTATTCAAGAGTAAATAATATTTTGGTAGCGTCGTTTACATACTTAATAGTTTTAGGATTAATTGTGCTTCTGATAATGATAGGTAAAATTTTTGTAGAAACTTTTTAATGGATGCATTTTCATTACTGTTATTATTGTTTTAATTTCTTCTTCTTTTTTAGTTTGAGACTGTTTGAAAATCGTTCATGTCCATGTTATCTCTGTCTATTAGAAACTCGAAACTATTCGCAAAAGAAATAGTACTTGTGGTTTCTTTCATTATATTTTGGGTAAGATCTACATTATTTAAATTCATTTTCAAAGATTTTCTGGAGATATTCCTAGGTAAATCTTTGTTACCTTCTGTTCCTCCTGTAGCTGAATCCAGTAGCGTAAACTGATCTTGGTATTAGTTTCTTCATTGCTGCTTTAACACTAAAGACTTTTTACCATCACAATTTTTGGTTTTCCAAAGATCCTTCTTCTTGTTTTTGCCTTTCCACTTCGACATCAGCCACAATCCGGGAACATTTCGAGCTTTTCAAATATCTTCCACGCCAATACACTAAGTATCAATCACCGTGTTCTGACCTCACGCCTCCCCGTATCAGTATCTGCCAATTTTTGAAGTATGTGAGTTTGGTGATGATATATATTTTGATGAGTTATTTTGATTTGGGCAGTAACACCAAGTAAAAAAAACTAAAGTAGTTTTGAAATACTTTATTTATCCATATCCGTTTCGGTCTTCGTCGAGACCGTCATTCAGTGGAAAATAGAAAATTAATTATACAAAAATACACTACACTATTACACATTAATTACAATGAATATATTAATAACTGGAACATTTAAACTAATTATTTTTGACAGTTTTTTGTTACATTCTAGTGTGTACAGATTAACTAACGTCTAAATACTGAATTTTCAGTGTTTAGACGTTACACACACACAGACGTGTTTGTGTGTGTGTAGATACAAATTTTCGTCGACGATTTCGAGAAAACTGATCAACCGATGTAAATAATTCAAAAAACATTCGATTCGTATTGATAAGGAGACGTGCTGATTGGTTTTTGGCAAAGACAGGTTTAGCCGTTCTAAAGTTACGGGGCAAAAAGTGCCAAAAATAGTAACTCGGTTTTTAAGAAAACGGAGCGTCCGACTTTAATAATAAAAATTCAAAAAACATTTTACTTGTATTGACAAGATGATGAACTGATTTTGGGAAGGCAAGTCTAGCGGTTATGGACTCTCAACAAAAATAAGTTAAAAAATTACACATTTGGCGGTCAAAAATGTTTATTGGTACATCAAATTATCAGATATTTTATAGAAATTTTACCAAAGTGTACCCATTTTGTGTAAACTTTTTTGGGTTTTGTACGAAGATTTTTAATTTTAAAATTCACGTATATAGTTATTCGATTTGTATTGATAAGAAGCCGTGCTGATTAGTTTTTGGCGAGGGCAAGTCTAGTCGTTCCAAAGATACGGTGCAAAAACCAGCAAAAACGGAAACTCTATAAGAGAACGGAGCGTCCGATTTTAATAATTCAAAAAAATTTTACTTGTATTGACAAAATCAACAACTGGTAAAACCCTTTCTGGGATGGCAGGTCCAGCGGTTATGGATTCTCAATAAAAATAAATTCAAAAATGTCATTTGGCGGTCAAAAATGTTTATTGGACATATGTACATCAAATTAAAAGATATTTTATAGAAATTTTAATATTGTGTAAACATTGTGTGTAAATTTTTTCGAGTTCCGTACCAAGATTTTTAATTTTGGAGTTTATTTATATGGTTCAAACAAGTGTTCTCGACATTTTCGTCAATATGGAATATCCGATTTGAATGATTAAAAAAACATTCGGTTCGTACTCGATGACGAGGCGTTTTTGCAAAAGGCAATTTTGCTGTTTCGGAGGTATGGAGCGCAAAAGGTCTAAAAACGGTTAAGCAGTTTTTGAAAAAACGGATTCGATTAATTCAAAAAACATTTTGGTGTGCAAAAAATGCATTTACAGAAAATTTAGTAATTTTGAAAATTTTCAAATAAAAAAATCTAAATTTTCAAAAAAAATCAGTTTCAAAAAATTCAAAATTTCAAAATTATTCATCATTTTCAAAAAAAAACTAAATATTGAAGAATTAAAAAAAATGATGTCTTACAAAAATTTGAGAATATTTTGAAATTTAAAGGAAAAAATTTCTAAATTATTAAAAAATTTCTAAATTATCAAAAAAATCAAGTTTAAAAAAGTAGACTCTTGTAAACGTACACATAAGTTGTTTATAAAATACGCCCAATTTAAAAAGCACTTATAAATTCACAGTATGTATTTATAATAAATAATATATTTGAAAATCTTCAAAACAATTCTTGATTATTTTCGTTTCTCACGGTACGGGAAGTTCCAGCAATTTGCTTTAAAACACGATGCCATGCGCCCCACTAGTATTAATAACTTCCCGAAGGAAAATTTAATGTTTTCATAAAAAAAAAACGATTTGCTAATTTTATGTTTTCTTGACGTTTCAAGCCATTCTGAATCGAATGGGACGAAATTTTGCAAAAGTATGTGTGTGTGTACGATTTATGCTAAAATAAAACACACTGAAAAATTGTTAGATAATAAAATTGTGCATAGTTCAACTAAAGACATTATTCCCAAACAATAATTACCGTCCATTGAAGTACCCAAAATCTCAGGTGATATTCACCAATGGCCATTATTCTATGAAACTTTTAATTCACTAATTCATGAGAATACCGAGTTAGATAATGTATCAAACTTCCATTTTTTAAAAGGGGTATTATAGTGTCCGTTGTTAAAAATTCGATACCACCGACCGCTAATAATTATTAAATTCTTTGGGAAGCGCTCATCAAAAAATAACAAAATAAACGTTTTTAGCCACAAATTAATTCAATCAATTATTATCATTTAAAATCATTTCTTCTGGACAAATAAATTTATTTCTTGAAAAATTCGATACCGCGGTGCAAGCGCTCTCTCAATTAAATATTTCCGATGCCTACGATTTCCTAATAACGTCACTAGCATTCTCGAAACTCGATCCATTGTTACAAGAAAAGTTCGAGCATTTTTATCAAGGTGAGTTTCCCAAATATCAAGACCTCCTACGATTTCCTAATAACGTCACTAGCATTCTCGAAACTCGATCCATTGTTACAAGAAAAGTTCGAGCATTTTTATCAAGGTGAGTTTCCCAAATATCAAGACCTCCTGCAGTTTCTTCAAAAACCACAACAAGCAAGAAATCAAGTCTATGGTATGATCAATAATTTCACAAATAAGAAGCCAAATTACAAAAACACTAAAATTAGCCACCAAATTATAAATTAATTCTAGATTTTTATAACTAAAATAAATATAACTAAAAACAGAATCATAAATAAATATCACAATTTCTAATGTTATAAAAATTTCTTAAATTATTTTTTGCAAATATATGCCAAAAGTATTTTTGTATTTTTTAATTAGTTCTTGTCTTCTGCTTCTTAAATTTCTTTCGATCAACAATATATCGTCATTTCTTTGAAGGATGTTATGCGAAATCCCTGAGACTAACCACAGAATTGCATGTTCCTTTTCTTTTAGTTTTATCGTTATGTCCAACTTAATTAATTCATCATCATCGATTATTCCAACTTTTAATTCCTTTAATTTATTTTTCACCCAATTCCATATATACTTTCTTCGACCACATTCAGTTAGGTAATGTATAATATTGTCTATTTTATTATATTTA